CTGGGCGGGGACGGGCGCTGTGCATCCCGCGGGCCCTGCGCGCCCTCTCTCTGTCTGGGCCGGGACGGGCGCTGTGCGTCCTGCGGGCCCCTCACGCCCTCTCTGTGTCTGGGTGGGGATGGGTGCTGTGCATCCCGTGGGCCCCGCGCGCCCTCTCTGTGTCTGGGCGGGGGCTGGGCGCTGTGCATCCCGCGGGCCCCGCGCCCTCTCTGTGTCCAGGGTGGGGACGGGCGCTGTGCATCCCGCGGGCCCCGCCTGTGTCTGGGCGGGGACGGGCGCTGTGCATCCCGCGGGCCCCGCGCGCCCTCTCTGTGTCTGGGCGGGGACGGGCGCTGTGCATCCCGCGGGCCCGCGCCCTCTCTGTGTCTGGGCGGGACGGGCTGCTTGCATCCCTGCGGCCCCCCACAGACCTCTCTGTGGTCTGGGGTGGGTACGGGCGGCTGTGCATCCGCGGCGCCCCGCGCCTCTCTGTGTCTGGGTGGGGAGCGGTGCATGTGCATCCCGTGGGCCCTGCGTGCCCTCTCTGTGTCTGGGCCGGGCCGGCACCGGCTCCGAGACGCCCGCGCCCGGGATGCACGTTTCTTTGTCTGTGACACAGCCTCGCTGTGCCAACGGGAGCCCTCCCGCCGGGCCGACGACGCAGCCGGGACCACGGCGCGGGCGCCGCGCCAGCTCATCTCTCTGCGCCCACCAGAGCCCGGTTCGGCCGGCCACAGCGGCTTGAAACCAGGCCTGGGCCGCGCTCGCGCTCGGCAGACAGGGAGGAGGGAGCGGCTCGCCCTGCCCGAGCGCCCGGCCGCGGTGCGGGACGGGGCGCGGGGACGGCGGGCGGCTCCCCTCTGCCGGAGCCGCGGGGGCACGGCTGGCGGGGGCGGAGGACGCGGGTGGAAAGTGGGACGGGGACGGAGAGCGGGACTGAGGACGGGGGAGGTGGACTGGGGACTGTACCGGGACAGGGACGGTGGGACCAAAGGACGGGAGGGCGGAAAGACCCGCACGCGGCGCCTCGCGCCTACCACGTGTAGGGATCCTCGCGTCATGAGGTTGGGCCATGAACAGTGCCATCCAGCCGCCGGCGCAGGCCCCAGTCTTCCCGAGTGTGCTCTTCAGCTCCCGGTGGAAACACCCTGCAGGGGCGGGGGGGTGAGGGTGTCAGGCTCGGGGTCAACGCCCCCCCACGCCGGAGGAGCAGGTGGGCCGGGAGCTGCGGGGGCAGAAGGAGACGGGGGGTCCAACCTCCACCCGGCTACGAAGTCCCCTGCCTGCCGCGGGCACGCGAGGGACGGTCTCCGCGCAGGTGTGCGCCTGCGCCCCGCCCACCTGCGCGTGGCCACCTGCGCCCGCCACGCTGCGAGGGCCACCTGCGCCCGCCACCTGCGCGTGAACACCTGCGCCCCCGCCCCCTGCGCGTGGCCAACTGCACCCGCCCACCTGCGGCGTGGCCACCTGCGGTCAGACGGCCGCCGGGGGCGGCCGAAAGGGGCAGACGCGACTCTACCTCGCGGAGAAGTCCCCGTGGTGCAGCAGCAGCAGGCTGTCGCCCGACTTGGTGGAGTAGGGCACCAGCTGGTCACCCGCTGCGCCGGGCGATCCGGTGTGTCGGGGGGCGAGCGTCAGAGCGGGGCCGCGGCTTCCCCAGACCCCCGCCCGGCTGGAGCCCCAGGTGGGCCTCGC